AGTAGCTGGGATTACAGGCATGCACCACCATGCCCAGCTACTTTTTTTGTGTTTTTAGTAGAGACGGGGTTTCACCATGTTGACCAGGGTGGTCTCGATCTCTCGACCTCGTGATCCACCCGCCTCGGCCTCCCAAAGTGCTGGGATTACAGGCTTGAGCCACCGCGCCCGGCAAGGGGAGGGCCTTTAAGGAAGAGATGTTCCTGGAGGAGGGCACTTTGAGCTGAGCCTTTGCGTTCATTAAGGTGCCTGTTAACAAGTGACAGAAAACCACTTCCAAATGAGCTCTAATACAGGAAATGAGGCCGGGTATGGTCGCTCAGGCCTGTAATCCCAGCACTTTGGGAGGCTGAGGTGGGTGGATCAGCTGAGGTCGAGAGTTGGAGACCAGCCTGGCCAACACGGAGAAACCCCGTCTCTACTAAAAATATAAAAATCAGCAGGGTGTCGTGGTACATGCCTGTAATCCCAGCCACTTGGAAGGCTGCAGGAGAATCGCTTGAACCCGGGAGGTGGAGGTTGAGGTTAGCCAAGATCACACCATTGCACTCCAGCCTGGGCAACAAGAGTGAAACTCTGTTTAAAAAAAAAAATACAGGAAATAAGCCAGGCACGGTGGCTCACGCCTGTAATCCCCACACTTTGGGAAGCTGAGGCAGGTGGATCACCTGAGGTCAGGCGTTCGAGACCAGCCTGGCCAATGTGGTGAAACCCCATCTCTACTAATACTACAAAAAATTAGCCAGGTGTGGTGGTGCACACCTCTAATCCCAGCATCTTGAGAGGCTGAGGCAGGAGAATCGCTTGAACCTGGGAGGTAGAGGTTGTAGTGAGCTGAGATGGTGCCATTGCACTTCAGCCTGGACAAGAGGGAAATTCCGTCTCCAAAGGAAAAAAAAAATGAACACAGGCAATGTAATTGTGTCCAGCAATAGAAAGGGCTTCAGGTACAGTATGATCCAGGGATTCACAGCATTATTTAGGATACAGCTACGCCTCACTGTGGTCCTCTCAGCTTCCATCCGTGTGTAGTCCTGTCCTAAGCCCAGTTCCTCGCATGTCCTGAGGTGAAATGACCAGCCCAGTGATTGAGGCTGAGTTAAAATCCAGGGTGTGTTTGGATTGCTAGATGGGTGTGTTTTCATCTCTGAGACCATCAGTTTCCTCACTGGTAACATGGCATCTGCTTCATAGAGAAGTTTTGAGGACTAAGAACTCCACACAGGTCAAGCAGTTGAAGCCAACTCTGGGATACGGGACCCTCAGGGAGCCTTAAGTGGGTATATGTGGCCCCTAGAAACTGCCAGCAGCCCCCAGAGCCCCACCTTTTTTGCTCACCCCCAAGGTGGCCAGAACACAATCCCAGCTGCGCTCTGACTGCACCCTCTTAAGTGAGTGGCTGTCCCTGAACCACAGCGAAGGAATGTGATAGACTCTGCAGCTTAGATGTCTTTGGGTCCCTGGAATCAGAGATTGTGTCAGGACCACACAGACCAATTTCTGGGAAAGGTGAGGCCCCTTTAGGAAGGGAAATGGACATAAGAAGGCAACTGGCAATGCCCAACAGGCTTGAAAGATGAGAAGGAAAAAGCACGGGCTGTAATCAGAGATGCTCTGGAGTTGTGCAGTGCACGGAGTACACATCTGAACATGGCCATCCCCTCCAAGACTGTGAACCTTCAGACTATGCTGCATTTAGCACAGCAAGATGACGGCACACAAAGAAAAGTGGTGGGAGCTGGAGCTGGAGAGAAACAGGCAGGAGCCACATCAGAAGTTCTGAAGCTGGGTGTGGTGTTGTTCATGTGGTTTCTGCTACTCAGGAGGCTGAGGCAGGGAGATCGCATGAGCCCAGGAGTTCAAGACCAGCCTGGACCACATAATGAGACCCTGTCTCAAAAATAATAATAATAATAATAATAATTAGGTAAATAAATCCATGAATGATGGGTCCATACAATTAAGTCTAATCATGTTGAGTATAGGGCAGGGCAATTAAAGTCGGGAAGAAAGAGACCTTCGTATTGGCGGATGTATTTTGTGATCCAGCCTTACGTATGTTCTGAAAAGAAATACAAAATCTATATCTAAATACCTGTCCTGTGCCCTTCTTTTCAAATTCTTCTGTTTTCTTTTCTTTTTCTTTTTCTTTTTTTTTTTGAGACAGAGTCTTGCTCTGCAGCCCAGGCTGGAGGGCAGTGGTGCCGTCTCAGCTCACTGCAGCCTAAACTTCCTGGGCTCAAGTGATCCTCCCACCTCAGCCTCTTGAGTAGCTGGGATTACAAGCATGCACCACCATGCCCAGCTAATTTTAAACTTTTTTCATTTTTAAAAGATTTGTGAATTTTATATTTTATGGCAAGAACTGCAATTATTTTTTTCATTTTTAAAATTTATTTATTTTAAATTTTATATTTTTAAAAAACTTTTTATAGAGACAGAGTCCCTCTATATTGCCCAGGCTGGTCCTGAATGCCTGGCTTCAAGCAACCCTCTTTCCTTGGCCTCCCAAAGCGTTGGGATTATAGGTATGAGCCACCACACCTGGCTGATTTTTTTTCTTTTTATTTATTTATTTATTTATAAAGACGAGGTTTCACCATGTTGGTCAGGCTGGTCTTGAACTCCCGACCTCAGGTGATCCACCCGCCTTGGCCTCCAAAGTGCTTGGATTACAGGCATGAGCCACCATGCCCGGCCACACCTGGCTGATTTAACCTCAATTTCTCCCAACCAAATAGCACTAAGGAGGGGCTTGAAAAATCCACATACTCATTGACCCTTACCAAACACTTACAAGATGCCAGGCAGCATTCTCAGCATGTTACACGTATTAGCTCATTAAAGCTCATAAAAGACCTGTGAGGGTTGGGAAGCCTAGGCAGGCAGATCACCTGAGGTCAGGAATTAGAGATCAGTCTGGCCAACACAGCTAAACCTGTCTCTACTAAAAACACAAAAAATTAGCCAGGTGTGGTGGCTTAGGCCTGTAATCCTAGCTACTCGAGAGGCTGAGGGAGGAGAATCGCTTGAACCCAGGAGGCGGAGGTTGCAGTGAGCTGAGATTCTGTCACTGCATTCCAGCCTGGGTGATGGCGTGAGTCTGTCTCAAAACACAAAACGAAGCAAAACTCATTGAGGCTGGTGGGCACGATGGCTCACACCTGTAATCCCAGCACTTTGGGAGGCTGAAGAGGACGGATCCCGAGGTCAGAAGATTGAGACCATCCTGGCTAACACAGTGAAACCCCTGTCTCTACTAAAAATACAAAAAATTAGCTGGGCGTAGGGGCATGCGCCTGTAATCCCAACTACTCGGGAGGCTGAGGCAGGAGAATTGCCCGAACCCAGGAGGCGGAGGTTGCGGTGAGCCGAGATCGCGCCACTGCACTCCAGCCTGGGCAACAGAGCGAGACTCCTTCTCAGAAAAAACAAAAAACAAACAAACAAACAAACCTCATGAGAGAAGAACTTCTTAGGACCACGTTACAGAGGAAGGAACCCAGGCGTATGCATTCAGTAACTTGCCTAAGGTAACACAGCCAGGAAGCAGAGAAGACAGGATTTTCCTCCAGACATGCCGATTGCAGATTTTTTGTTCATCTACCCGGAGGACAAAACTCTATCCTCCTCCTAAACAAAAGGCATGTGGGAATACATGGGTGAGGAACTGACTGCATCTGTTCTTTTTATAAAAATTGAGCCGGGCGCGGTGGCTCAAGCCTGTAATCCCAGCACTTTGGGAGGCCGAGGCGGGTGGATCACAAGGTCGAGAGATCGAGACCAACCTGGTCAACACGGTGAAACCCCGTCTCTACTAAAAATACAAAAAATTAGCTGGGCGTGGTGGCGCGTGCCTGTAATCCCAGCTACTCAGGAGGCTGAGGCAGGAGAATTGCCTGAACCCAGGAGGCGGAGGTTGCGGTGAGCCGATATTGCGCCATTGCACTCCAGCCTGGGTAACAAGAGGGAAACTCCGTCTCAAAAAAAAAAAAAAAAAAAAAAAAAAATGAGATAAAATTTACATACTATACAACTCACCATTTTAACCATTTTAAAGTGCACTTCAGGGCCTCTTGTACATTTGCGGTGCTGTGCAACCATTACCTGTAGCTAGCTCTGAAACATTTTCATCACTCCAAATGGATGCCTGTCCCCATCGGCAGTCTGGCGCTGCTCTTCCTGCTCCCCAGCCCCTGGCAACCACTCATCTGCTTCCTAGCTCTATCCATTTGCCTGTTCTGGACATTTCATATAAACAGAATCATACAAGTCGTCGCCTTTGGCGTTTGTCTCTGTTCATGAAGCATCATACTGTCAAGGTCCATCCAAGCTGGACATGCCTCAGAACTTCATTCCCAAGATACTCATTATTTTTTTTTGTGACAGGATTTCACTCTGTTGCCCAGGCTGGAGTGCAGTGGCACAATCACTGCTCACCACAGCGTCCACCTCCTGGGCTCAATCGATTCTCCCACCTCAGTCTCCTAAGTAGCTGGGACCACAGGCGTGTGCCACCACACCCTGCAAATTTTTGTCTTTTTTGTAGACATGGGGGTCTCACTATGTTGCCCAGGCTGGTCTTGAACTCCTAGGCTCAAGTGACCCGCTTGCCTCAGCCTCCCAAAGTGCTGGGATTACAGGCATGGGCTACTGCACCCAGCAGAACTCCATTTGTTTTGAAGACGGAATAATATTTCCTTAAATAGGCTATACCCCATTTTGTTTATTCATCAGTCAATAGGAACGTGAGTTGTTTTCCCTTTTGGCTATTATGAAAGATGCTGCTATGAATACATTCCTGTACCGGTTTTTGAGTGGATGTGCGTTCTCAGTTCTTTTGGATATATACCTAGGAGTGGAACTTCTGAGTCACATGGTGATTCTGTGCTTAACCTTTTGAGGAGCTGCTACGCCGTTTCTGCAGCAGCAGCCGCGTTCTGCATTCCCACCAGCAGTGCACGGCTTCCGACTCGTGCCTCTTCTCTCTGTCCTTGCAGTCCTCTTGTCGGGCCAGCAGGAACACGGTGAATGGATACTTCTTGGCAGGCCGGGACATGACATGGTGGCCGGTGAGTGTGCCCTGACTTCTCACACCCCCTCCTTTGTCCGTGAGGCTGTGTCTTACACCCAGGTTGGCTGGCACCTGCATCTCTGAGCCAGTCCTATTCAATGGAAAAGGCCAGAGGCTGGCAGGAGGTCCCCAAGTGAGGGGCGTGGGACTGAGCTGCTAGAAATAGTGTAAAGGACAGGGACTTTGGAGTCTGAAACTTATGTCAGCTCCTTGGCTGTGCAGCTAGTCATGGGTGGAACTCACACCCTGGGCTTCTTATCCGTGAAGTGGGGCTAGGACCCTGCTTAGGTTTGTGAGGATGGAGAAGCTGTTAGGCCCAGGGTGAGGCTGGCACAGTGAGCCTGTGCTGATGCGTTTCCCTTTCTCTCCTCCAGATCGGAGCCTCCCTCTTTGCCAGCAGCGAGGGCTCTGGCCTCTTCATTGGACTGGCAGGCTCAGGCGCTGCAGGAGGTGTGGCCGTGGCAGGCTTCGAGTGGCATGTGAGCCCTGGAGGACAGGCAGCCTGTGGGAGGGCTGGGGCACAGGGTTCGTGGTCACCGTGACCAGCTCTGGAGGGGGGCAGCTCCCAGCGGCTGGTGTCAGCCAATGTCCATGTGGGCTCTATGCAGTGCTGTTCCTGGGCCAAATCGTGTCTTCAGAATACCAAGGTGCTGGATGGCACGACTGGCAGGGAGCTGTGGGCCTTATCCCAGGCCCAGAGAGGGGAAGGAGCCACCCAGGGTCTCATGGCAAGTCAGGAGGGGCTGAGGGAAGCCAGCCTCCAGATGGCTTGTCCCAGCCATGCCTGCTGTGTGTCTGCAGCAGAGCTGTAGGTGCCACACCTGCAGTCCGCACCTGCCTCTGTCCCCACAGGCCACGTACGTGCTGCTGGCGCTGGCGTGGGTGTTCGTACCCATCTACATCTCCTCGGAAGTGAGTCTACTCATGGGGCTTCCAGCCGGGGCACTGGGTCTGTATAAGTTGGTGGTAGTAATGGGCAGGATCACTGTGGCCTCACATCAGGAGTGGTGAACTCTCAGGCCTGGTCTTGCTATTAGCCCAACTAACATTTCTATAAACCTGTTAAGGTAGGTCCCCTTGGACCTCAGCCTGGGTGCCTTCTTGGCTGGTTTCCACTGCCCTGAGTGCTGCATCTCTGGAATAATGTCCCATCCAGCTGGGCACAGAGGCTGCACATTTGGGCCACACACCTGAGCCTCATACCTGGACTGCATACCTGGGCCACACACCTGGACTGCACACCTGGGCCTCACACCTGAGCCTCACACCTGGACTGCAGACTTGGGCCTCACACCTGGGCTGCACACTTGGGCCTCACACCTGGACTGCACACCTGGGCCTCACACCTGGACTGCACACCTGGGCTTCACACCTGGGCCATACACCTGGACTGCACACCTGGGCCTCACACCTGGACTGCACACCTGGGCCTCACACCTGGGCTGCATACCTGGGCCGCACACCTGGACTGCACACCTGGGCCTCACACCTGAGCCTCACACCTGGACTGCAGACTTGGGCCTCACACCTGGGCTGCACACTTGGGCCTCACACCTGGACTGCACACCTGGGCCTCACACCTGGACTGCACACCTGGGCTTCACACCTGGGCCACACACCTGGACTGCACACCTGGGCCTCACACCTGGACTGCACACCTGGGCTTCACACCTGGGCCACACACCTGGACTGCACACCTGGGCCTCACACCTGGACTGCACACCTGGGCCTCACACCTGGACTGCACACCTGGGCCGCACACCTGGGCCACACACCTGGACTGCACACCTGGGCTGCACACCTGGGCCTCACATCTGGACTGCACACTTGGGTCACACACCTGGACTGCACACCTGGGCCTTACACCTGGGCTGCACACCTGGACGGCACACCTGGGCTGCACACCTGACCTGGACTGCACACCTGGGCCTTACACCTGGGCCTCATACCTGGGCTGCACACTTGGGCCTCACACCTGGGCCACACACCTGGACTGCACACCTAGGCTTTACACCTGGGCCACACACCTGGACTGCATATCTGGACTGCACACCTGGGCCACACACCTGGACCGTACACCTTGCTGCACCATTCTTGACTCTGCCCACTTCTTCAGCCCTGGCCATGCAGACACTGTTCCAGTCACGGCCCCTCTAATCCATTCCTCGTCTCAGCCCTAAAGAGCCAGTCTTGGAATCTCAGCATGCCACTCCCCTGACACCCTCAGGACGCAGCGGAGCAACCTGGGATTCCAGGCCGGGTGCTGGGGCTGTCAGGGGTCAGTGCCTGGGCCTTGCCCTTGAGAGGCTTACAGCTGCTTTGCGGCAGGGGGAGAGGCAGAGCGATTGAGGCAGGCCCTGCCTGGAGCACTGGGCATTGTCTGGGGGATGTTTATCCCCTACCATGTGCCTCCCCAGATCGTCACCTTACCTGAGTACATTCAGAAGCGCTACGGAGGCCAGCGGATCCGCGTGTACCTGTCAGTCCTGTCGCTGCTAATGTCTGTCTTCACCAAGATATCGGTAAGCTGCCCCCTGCTTCCTGCCAGCACAGCATGGAAACATCCCCAGTCTGTGGGCCCCTCAAGCAGACCTGACATTTTCTCATCCATCTCTGCTTTGTTTAACAGCTGGGCAAACTGAGGCCCAGAGAGGGACAAGGACTTGCCCAGGGTCATGCAGCAACTCTGGCAGGTGGTCCAGGGTCCCCAGGGTGTAGGTTCAGCAGCCAGCCCTAGTCGGGGACAGAACACAACCCGGTAACCTCTGCTTTTCCTCTGGCTCTAGACACAGGGTATTAGGATAGTTCTCAGTCTGAGGTCAGTCCTGGGGCCGGCACTGCGGTGAGCCAGGACTTCCCACGAGGGGGCGCCAAAAGCCCACGTGGTCTTGGCCGTATGTGGTCTGCACTGAGCGCACCTGCCTCTCACACCAAGGCTGGTGGGCTCCATCACTGACACCTGTCCTTGGGGGCCTGGCATACCAACAGCAGGTCCCACTGGGATATTAAGAGCAGGCACACACCTCGAATGTCAGGGTCATGAGAAGCATAGAGCTTACCTTGTCTAAGCCGCTGACTTCACAGAGAGAGAGGCAAACCACGGCCCAGGCAGGGGAAGGAGCTTGTCCCAACCCTCCTCGTGACCTCATGGCAACACCAGGCCTTCTGCACTCACTCCAAGTCCCTGGGGGCAGCCAGCTTCGTCCAGCCCCAGGCTTCTGAAGGGGCTTGGGTCCTGGAGCTGCCTGAATCTGGCTGAGGGAGCCGACCGTATCCCCTGAGGCCCCCAGGTCTCCGTGCCCTTAAGGAGGGTGGCAGACCTCCTGTGAGGTTGGTGAGGGCTGCTGTGTCGATGGGAAGTGCCCGGTGAGGCCCGGCTTTCTCCTCAGAGGCAAATGCACCCTGGGGTCCCTCTTCATTCAGCTCTGGGACTAAGGACAACCCAGAAGAGGAGTCGATTCAGTGCAGGGAACGGAGGCACAGAGACCAGAGAGGTAGAGGCCTTGCTGGTCGTCCAGGAGCTGTGGGCAGGGCTACCTGGGAATGGGGTCCTGAGAATGTCCACCCAGAGCCCCCACTGGGCTCCGACGGGGGTCCCTTGCAGCATCCGACCCGTCCTCTCCTCTCCCTATAGGAGGTTTGCCTTCTCAGAGAGCCCTTTAGAGTCCGGAGGGGCGTGGTCTTGGCCTGCCCATCAGGCTGAGTTTAGAGTTTTTGCTCACACTGTTCCTTCCTCTCCTGCATCTCTTGGTCTCTACCCCACCCCCATGCCAGCCACCTCCTTGGAAGCCAGGATACAGAAATAAACAAGCCCCGGCCCCAGCCTGTCAGGGGCTCGCACTGTGGTGAGGAGTAGATGGATGCATGGAACAGACAGGCGTGAAGCTCCGAAGAGACACGGCGGGGTGCTGGGGTGCATTCGAGTTGGGCTCCGAGGGAGACGGGGATGTCGATGTGGTAGGGAGCAAATGACAAGGAGAGAGGTGGGAAGAGGCAGGATGCATCTGGGGGTGGGCATGTCTGGAGGACTAGACTTTGGCGGTCACTAAGTCAGACACTTCTGGGGCCCAGATAAAGAATAGTGTAGGGAGAAGCCAGGAGTGAGTCACAGGCAGTAGGCCGGGCGCGGTGGCTCACCCTGTAATCCCAGAACTTTGGGAGGCTGAGGTGGGTGGATCACCTGAGGTCAGGAGTTCGAGACCAGCCTGACCAACATGGAGAAACCCCATCTCTACTAAAAATACAAAATTAGCAGGGCATGGTGGCGCATGCCTGTAATCCCAGCTAACCGGGAGACTGAGGCAAGAGAATTACTAGAACCCAGGAAGCGGAGGTTGCGGTGAGCTGAGATTGTGCTACAGCCTGGGCAACAAGAGCAAAACTCTGTCTCAAAAACAAAACAAAAAAACAGGTAGTGGTGGGGACAAAAGCAAACCAGAGGCCGAGCCCCAGCATTCACACCCAACAGGCTCGGGTGCCGCGTTTGCCCGTCAGCTGCCAGCTTTCAGCCTCTGGCCTGCACTGAGAGATGAGACGAGGGAGGTCTGACTGTTAGAGGCTGAAGTGCCCAAGGGGCCCGGGTGGAGGGGGTGGTGTTTAAGCAGGAGAGCGACAGGGTCGTGCTTATACTTTGTGCTCTCTGGAAACTTCCAGAGGGTAGACTGGAGGGGAGAGCGACAGGAGGAGGCCAGGCCTGTGAGGAGGCCCCAGCAAGGTCTGCTGAGGGAGGGAGGCTGAGTCATGGGCACAGCGTTCTCAGCCTGCTTCCCCCTGCCAGCTTCTCTGCAGTAGCGTTATACTTCACACTCAGAGAGGGCGGAAAGTGGGTGTCTTGGGCGGGACTTCTGGAAAGGCAGAGGGGCCAGGTGCGGTGGCTCACGCCTATAACCCTAGCACCTGGGGAGGCCAAGATGGGTGGATTCCCTGAGCTCAGGAGTTCAAGACCAGTCTGCACAACACAGTGAAACTCCATCTCTACTAAAATACCAGAATATTAGAACGTGGTGGTGGACACCTGTAGTCCCAGCTACTTGGGAGGCTGAGGCAGGAGAATCGCTTAAACCCAGGAGGTGGAAGTTACAGTGAGCTGAGTCTCCGAAAAAAGAAAAGAAAGGCAGAGCAAAGAGCTCAGTGAGGTGGGAGGGCCTTGGGACAATCTTTTTTTTTTTTTTTTTGAGACGGAGTGTCGCTCTTGTTACCCAGGCTGGAGTGCAATGGCGCGATCTCGGCTCACCGCAACTTTCCGCCTCCTGGGTTCAGGCAATTCTCCTGCCTCAGCCTCCGGAGTAGCTGGGATTACAGGCACGCTCCACCATGCTCAGCTAATTTTTTGCACCATTAGTAGAGACGGGGTTTCACCATGTTGACCAGGATGGTCTCGATCTCTTGACCTCGTGATCCACCCGCCTCGGCCTCCCAAAGTGCTGGGATTACAGGCTTGAGCCACCGCGCCCGGCCGGCCTTGGGACAATCTTATCCAGCCTTCCGAGTTTACAGATGAGACCACCGAGGCCCAGGTCACAGCGAGCCAGGCCGACGCCACTGTCAGAACCAGGTCGTGGCCCTTCAAACTCCACTTTGTGATGGGGTGATTCAGCTCACCCAACTATAAAACAGGGAGCACCACTCACATCAAAGCTGGGCTTCAGAACCGACGCTGGGGCTGCCTGGGTGAAGCAGAGGGCGAAGCTCAAGGCACGCTCTTTGCTGGGCTTGGCTGCGAGAGGACTGGGGCTACCCCGGCCATTTGAAGTGCATGGGCCCTGCCAGTCCCCAGAGGCCCCGACCTCACTGGGCTGAGCCCCGGGAATGCCTCACGTGTCTGTGCGTTCAGTACCCGTCCCGGCCGCAGCCTGTGTGGACGGAGATCTTAGGGTGCCTGCTATCACCCCTCAGGCGGGGTACTGGCCCACAGGAGGACCTGAGACGACAGAGCAGGGAGAATCACCAACCCGACCCTCAGACCAGGGGACCCACGTCCAGCTCCATCATTGTGAGGCTCTAGTCGGTCATTGAACCTCTGGAAAATAGCAGGACTGGGCACGATGCCCCATGTCACTTGCAGTAAAGGTCCTCCACGGGGTTGCTCGCACTCTCACTGACCTCATCCCTCCTGCACCCCGTGCCACCACCCTCTCTAGCCACACTGGCCTCTTTGCGCTTCCGTGAACACACCAGGCATGGTCCTGCCTCAGGGCCTTTGCACTTGCTATGGCCTCTGCCTGGAACCTTCTGCCTCGATATCCACATGGCTCTCTCACATCCCTCAAGCCTTTCCACCCTCTCGCTCTTCACCCCCACTCCCATGGCCCCCCTTCCTCACTCTCCCACAGTGGACTCTGAACGCCTGGGGCATGTGCTCACTGGTGCATTCCCAGGGCTGCCTCGTGGGTCTAGGTGAGAGAATCTATGCCAGGGTTCAGCTCGTTTTTTCTGTGAAGGGTCAGAGAGTAAATCGTTTCAGCTTCACAGGCCACACGGTCTCTGTCCTCACTCCTCAACTCTGCTCCTGGGGCCCGAAAGTGGCTGCAGACAATCCCGGAAGGCAGAACTGGGCTTGGCCTGCGGGCTCTGGGCTGTCACTCTCTGCCTTACGCAAAGTGCCTACTTATTGCACACCTACTTTGTGCCAGGCCCTGGGTGAGCACCCCATACCCACAGATGCTTTCTAGACAGAAGAGGTAAGGAAACAGACCAAGGAAATCATAAAAAGTGGTAAACGTGTGATAAAAGCAGCAAACACGGGCGGGGTCAGAGAAGGAGAATGGAGAGACAGGAGCAGGGAGTAGGCTCACCGGGCACAGAGCGGCCTGGGGGGAAATGCCAGCCTCGCAGCGGCCCTCCCAGACAGTGCACACTGTTGGCAGCAGGCCTCTCCCCTCCTGGCACCATCTAGCCACCACTGGGGTCTGGCAGGGGCCGGAGCCCAGCACGCAGGGAGGGAGCAAGGCTGAGAGGACTCGTGGGCCATGTGGTGCAGAATCTGGTGGGCTCCCAAGCTTCCCACGTGCATGAAGGAGTCTCGCTCCCTCTCCCAGTCAACGGAAACTTCACTCCAGGGCGTGTCTGAGGCTGAAGGAGGTTGGGAACCGACCCTGGTGCTCCGGCTGCCCTGGCCTGGGCCTCTGCCCTGTCCCCACTGGACCACCTTCCCTCATGGAACTTGTATCTTCCATCCCCCCCCACCCACTTTTTTTTTTTTTTTTTGAGACAGAGTCTCGCTCTGTCACCCAGGCTGGAGTGCAATAGGGCAATCTCAGCTCATTGCAACCTCTGCCTCCCGAGTTTAAGCAATTCTCCTGTCTCAGCCTCCTGAGTAGCTGGGATTATAGGCACCTGCCACCACACCCGGCTAATTTTTGTATTTTTAGTAAAGACTGGGTTTCACCATATTGGCCAGGCTGGTCTTGAACTCCTGACCTTGTGATCCACCCACCTTGGCCTCCCAAAGTGCTGGGATGACAGGTGTGAGCCACCGTGCCTGGCTGTATCCTCCATCCTTCGTGGGCCAGCAGAGAAGCAGGGCCGAGCCTTACACTGACACTAGGCATTGACAGTGATTCTTCCCAAATCTTTTTGGTGCCCCAAAGCCTCACCTATTTCCATAGAGGTCATCACCATCCTCCAGGGCTCCCTTTCTTTGCCACACTCCCTGCCTCCGACCCACCGGCCGCTGCTCTGGATTCCCTCTCCAAAACACACACCCGCTCGCCGAAACCTCTGCTGCCCCGACCCTGGGCCCGATCCTCTTGCAAATCCCTCACTGGTCCTCCTGCATTCAGCTTGTGCAGAGGAAAATCTAGGGTTCTGCATTTCTGGGTTTTGTTTGTTTGAGGCGGAGTTTCACTCTTGTCACCCAGGCTGGAGTGCAAGGGCGCGATCTCAGCTCACTGCAACCTCCATGTCCTGAGTTCAAGCAATTCTCCTGCCTCAGCCTCCTAAGTAGCTGGGATTACAGGCTCACGCCACCACGCCCGGCTAATTTTTTGTATTTTTAGTAGAGACGGGGTTTCACCATGTTGGCCAGGCTGGTCTGGAACTCCTGACCTTAGGTGATCCACCCGCCTCGGCCTCCTAAAGTGTTGGGATTGCAAGCGTAAGCTTCTGCATTTCTACCGTTCCAGGAATAAGGCGCACCCCCGCCTGGCAGAGGCCCTGCATGGCCCCCACTACCCCTCTTCTCTCGGTCATTGCTACCCCCTCCACATCCCCATGCCCCAGCCCACCAGCTTCCAGCTCTGGACCTGCCAGGCCAGCCAGCAGGAAGCGTATGTCCTTGGAGCCTACTTCTTAGGACGGTGGGACTTTGACAAGGTCGTTTCACTTCTCCATGCCCAGATACTCCACGCTGTGGAGTGGAGTGGATTATCACACCCACCTGGTGGGGTGCCATGAGCACTGGGGGAGACCTGAAAGACATCAGGGCGGCATGTGGCACATAGGCACATTTGTCACCTGTTAAAGGTGGCAAGTCAGCAGAGCTTCCTGGGGGATGACCAGCGATGTGAAGGGCCAGAAGGGTGTCAGGGTACAAAATGAAGGGAGGAATCATGGGGGTCCTGCTTGGGGAGGGAGCAGTGAGGTGCAAAGGACAGTGTGTACAGGGTGAGTGTGGGGCCACATCACAGGAGCAGGCGGGAACGTCTGGACCACAGCCTGGATCAGGCTACTGAGTTGGGGGGTAGATCAGTTGCTCTGGCCTTGTGGGTGGAGGCCTGGACCGAGGCCCTGGTTCGGCCTGTGCCCCGGGAGTGGCCCATCCTGGGTGGGGGAGAGGGAGGCGTTCCTTGGTACAGTCTTACTGATTTTGTTGCCAGAGTTTTGCCTCCATGGGCAAGTTCCTCTGCTCTCTGGGCCTCAGCTTCCCCATTCGTGCCTTCTAGGAGTTGGAATAGACTCTGGGCCAGGTGCAGTGGCTCACGCCTGTAATGCCAGCACTTTGGGAGGCTGAGGCGAGCGGATCACCTGTTCGCCTCAGGAGTTCGAGACTAGTCTGGCGAACATGACAAAACCCCATCTCTACCAAAATACAAAATTAGCTGGGCATAGTGGCAGGCACCTGTAGTCCCAGCTACTCAGGAGGCTGCGGCAGGAGAATTGCTTGAACCTGGGAATGGAGGGTGCAGTGAGCCAAGATCGTGCCACTGCACTCCAGCCTGGGTGACAGGGCAAGGCTCTGTCTAAAAAAAAAAAAAAAAAGACTGTGCAGTTGCTCCCGAGTCACCGGGGAGGGAGGCAGAGAGGAGAGCTGGCCTCTCAGATGGTCCCAGGGAGCATCCGGTGCTGGGAGAGGCGGTAGAGGGGCTGTGGGGCCCGGGCAGAGACGGAGGGGCCAGTGGCTGGCTATGTGTGCTCCACACCCACTTCCCCACGACACAGATCAGGGCCACTGAGGTTCAGGGCGTGAAGCGGCTCAAAGCCACGTGACTGGGACACGGCATACCAGGGACACAGAGCCAAGGCCGTGTGGCTCTTGGCATCGTCAGGCTGAAGCCTGCCTGGGCCCACAGAAAAGAGAGCTTGGCCTGCAGGAGGGGTTGGATAGGGCTAGGTGATGTCTGAATTCTTCACCCAGGGCTTCCCGGGAGTTGCAGGCAGCCGCACACCTACTGGGCCAGTGAATGGCGCCATGTGTCAGTCAGTCTACAGGGGAGACAGCAGTTAAAGGCCTACCCCACACGCCTGCCAGTGCCATTCCTGCACCTGTGGGACTTCTCTTCAGTCTTTGGGGCCCACTGCCGGGGAAAGAAGGGCAGGCAGGAGGGAGGGCGCACCAGCAATGTACCCAAGGAGCAGAGGGACTGGCATGGCTGTTTTGAAAGATCAGAGGCAGAAACTGAGATGTTCCAGAACAGAGGGAATCTGGTGAGCTGGTGAACAGAGGCCTGGAGGAGCTAAGTGCTGGGCACCGGATGAAGGACCCGGTGTCTGGCATGGGCAGAGCCTGAGGCCAGGCACACAGGGCTGGGTTCTGCCCAAAGGCAGCCGGGGTCCAGCCAGAGTCCGGAGCGGTGACTGTGGGACAGAAGTTTCCGGGCTGCTGCTGTGGCCTTCTAGAAGCCTCCTGCCCCCTCTCGGCCTTCCCTCTCCTGACAATTCCAATCTGATACCTACCAGGTACCCGCTTTGGAGAAGTCCCTTCCCCCTACCCCACCTTCCCCTGAACTACCTGCCCTTCCTACACACACACACACACACACACACACACACACACACACACACACACAGAGTCAAAGCCAAGGACCAGAGCGAGGGGGCCAGGGTTCTCCAGTTTCCAAACTGGCTGGTCTCTCTAAAACAGGGTGGGAGAGGCACCCGGAGGGAGACTACAGGAAGCACAGGCTTTGCGGTCAGATCCCATCCCAGCCTGGCCGTTGTGCCTGGGACGGGGGAGGCAGGATCCCTGCAGCCGGGCTCACTGGGCTAGGCTCTGGGGAGCCGGAAAGGGCCTAGGGCCTGCGCTTCCTGGGCTGCGTACAGATGTGCCCCCAGTCAAGGAGGTGCAGGGCGCCAGCCTTCTCAGGAAGCTCTTGGTCCCAGAGGCTGTGTGGGGGTCATCTCCCATCTCCTGAGCCGAGGCAGAACAGTAGATTTAGGAACTCAGGGGTGGGGCAGGGTGGAGCCTGTTACTAGCCCACGTCCTGGAGGATGGGCTCCTGCCCTCCCTCTCTCTGGGCCCCCACTGCCAGGTGGAGGGTGGGGTTCTTGTTGTAAACCCCATGTCAAGCTGAGGCTGGCCTCCAGGCTAGCGTTCCTGCCTTTAGGAGGCGCAGCCCCAGGCTCTGGGAGGGCAGGGGCTGTGCGTGTCCAGTCCATCCAGAAACCAGCTTCAGCCTGGGATCCAGCCTGTGAGCCACTCCCAGGGGCTTACCGCCCCTCTGCTCCCCGGCCGCCCCAGCACACGCGTTTCCTGAGGACTGCTGGTCTTCAGACTCCTCACAAACTCCTCATCAAAGTCCCCCTGGGAACTGAGGGGACAGGGCTCCACCTTTTAATCCCTGGGGAAGGGGCCAGATTCAGTAACGACAAGGCTTTTGGGAAGGGCGCTGGCCACTTTGGACTTTATTAGTAACAGTAGCGTCCCTGACATCCACATACAGCCTGCAGCTTCTCCATGGCCAGTTCTTCCTCCAGCCTCACAATGGCCCCCCAGATGCAGGCAGGCGAGTGGGGTCTCATCCCCTTATCCACAAGCCACTGAGGCCCAGAGAGGGCCCTGCCTGAGGTCACCCAGGGAGTGGCTTGCTGGAGCCCTGGGTTTAACAGCTACGTCAGCTGTACACCAGGCCCTCTCCCTCCGCAGCTGGACCTGTACGCGGGGGCTCTGTTTGTGCACATCTGCCTGGGCTGGAACTTCTACCTCTCCACTGTCCTCACGCTCGCCATCACGGCCCTGTACACCATCGCAGGTATGGCACCCACGGCAGGGAAGTCTAGCCAGGAGACGCGTAAAGGGGACAGAAGACCACTTCCCCCTACAGGCCCAAGGGAGCAGCCCGGGGGGTGGCCCCAGCAGGAGCCCTGGAAGTCCCTCCTTGAGCCCTTCCTCCCTGGGCCCAGGGCCCCTCCAGCAACCTTGCTTCCACCTGCAGGGGGCCTGGCCGCTGTCATCTACACAGACGCCCTGCAGACACTCATCATGGTGGTGGGGGCTATCATCCTGACGGTCAAAGGTGAGGAGACGGTCTGTGGCCGTGGCGGGGCTGTCCCCACGGCCAGCCCTGTGGAGTCTGGCACTGCCCGGCACTCTGCAGGATTCCTGCTGTCGGGGCTCTGGGTGGCATTGCTGGGGGTGGGTAGGCTCAGGAGGTTGAGCCACTAGGCAGTCAGCCCCCTGCTGCCCCCCTAGGGACTGCCCTGGCTGGTAGAGGCTACCCACCCCACTGCCCCGCTGTTACCAGCTCTGGCCCTGGCAAGGAGCTGACTCAGGAACTCAGGGCCAGCCACACCTGCCCTGGCTCAGCGCTTGCCGGTGAGGTGGGGCTGGAGGCGGGTGTGAGACCCACAACCGGAGACCACAGAACTGCCTGGGCGGCTCCTCCAGCTGTTTAAAAGCATGGACAAAATCCCAAGGGCCGATGTTACTCCCTGCAGCACAAAGGCCAGGGAGGAAAGGAGAGAGCTCGGAGAGAGTGGTGATACTAGTCCGGAACAGGCAGGCAGCTCACAGGGCTGCCCGGAGAGTGAGCTCACCATCCCTGGAAGCATGTAAACAGCGCCAGGAGGAGCCCGCAGAGACTCGTCCAGACTCAGAGACCCTGTGGTTGGGCAGTTTCTAACCCTTGAATGGCACTTGTCATTTGCTCTGAGCCTCACATGAACTCTCGGTCTGAATACAGAGCCTGACCTGGGCTCTATGGGGACAGTGATGCCGGGACCCAGCATCCAAGCAGCAGGGCCACCTCTTCCATGTCCCACTTGGAAAAAGCCAGGGAGTGGGGCCTGGGGTGGGAACAGGGGTTTTCCCACATCCAGGCTTCTCCCTCTCAGACCAGGGGCTCTGGTGTCCCTGGAACCCACCGCCGAGAGGGATCCCAGCAGCCAGGCGCAGTCTGGAAGGGAGGCAAGTGACATCAACACAGACGGGCCAGGGCTTGGCCGTGCAGGGCCCTGACCCCGAGGTAGACAGGACAGTGAGGTGTTCTGGGCTTGACCCCGCCAGAAGGGCTGTGTGGCCTTGCTGGGAGGCCCCACCCCTCTGGACTTCTGTCTCCCTTCTCTGTGCCGCAGGGGGCTGGGGCCACGTCACCACCAGCCACTCTCAGCTCTGCCAAAATCACACCCTTCAGGTGCCCCGGGTCAGGATGAACACTTTAGAAGCCTCAGGAAGGTCCTCGAATGCCAAGAAAAACTACTTTTGCTTCCTTGAATCGACAATCGGAAACCTGGCTGAGAAGCTTTGCCCAAGGCCCGATGGGTGTCCAGAGGCCAGCAGGGACTCCTGCCGGGCTAGCAGGACCCTGGGGTGCCCATGTGCAAAATGCTCACTTAATAGTATTATTTTAAATACAAATAAAATAGTCATTCAAATTCACCTTTTTAAAGAAACCCTCTACCGTCACGCCTTTCCACACTGGAAACGGTGAGGTGGGAAAACTCAAGCTTGATGCATCTGGAAGTTTCTTGTGAGATGAAGGCAAAGGGAGTCCAGGGAGTCAGGGCCCAGGCACACGGGAGCCCAAACACCAAACCGTCCCTGTCCCATCCCGACCCCTCCAGCTTTTGACCAGATCGGCGGTTATGGGGAGCTGGAGGCAGCCTACGCCCGGGCCATTCCCTCCAGGACCATTGCCAACACCACCTGCCACCTGCCGCGTGCAGACGCCATGCACATGTTTCGAGACCCCCACACAGGGGACCTGCCATGGACCGGGATGACCTTCGGCCTGACCATCATGGCCACCTGGTACTGGTGCACCGACCAGGTGAGTGCCAACGTAGCCTGCCCATCCCACCTTCCTGCTGTCCCAGCGGTCTCTGGCAGGCCCAGGCGGCCCGTCTGCCCTCTGCACCATGAGTCTGGGCTGGGCCCTCAGAAGGTGTGGGTCCAGGCTGGGACAGGCTGCTAGGGGTCCTTGCGGTCCCGGGGGGCTTGAGCCCTCCGTTTAGAATCGGATGAGGCCCACTGGCTACCACCCGTCCTGGCCTTGAGGTGCTTCGACTGAGACAGTTTGGAATACGGGATTCCGAAGGGACTTGGATGCTCCTCAGTGGCCCTGCCATCGGTCAGGGGGCGGGCGTTTCGGGCCAGTCTTGGGCTGCCAGGATCTGGCAGCAGGCGGGGTCCCTGGCCTCCCTTGGCCTGCCAGTGGTGGGGGCCGGCCACGGCTGGGCCTGCGTTTCTGGTAGACCTCTGGACGCCATCAGCAGCAGAGTGGTATCTAGGGGGTCTTGGGAGGCCATCTTTATCCCTAGTCCCTGAGGCAGAGACCCTGTGATGGTGGAACTGCTGGCCCTAGGAGAGAGAGAGTGGAGAGTGAGGCTGAGCAAGAAGGGCCAACCCTGCCCCAACGCAAGACCCTGCCCAGCCACACGGGAGCCGGCGGACCTGGGTTCACCTCCCGGCTCTGCCGTTCATCATCCAGTGGGCCTAGACCAGTTGGTTTTTCTGTTTGTTGTTTGTTTGTCGCCATCTGGGCTCACTGCAACCTCCGCCTCCCAGGTTCAAGTGATTCCCCTGCCTCAGCCTCCTGAGTAGCTAGGACTACAGGCGCATGCCACCATGCCTGGCTAATTTTTTTGTGTTTTAGTAGAGACGGGATTTCACCATGTTGGCCAGGCTGGTCTTGAGCTCCTGACCTTGTGATCCACCTGTCTCAGCCTCCCAAAGTGTGGGATTACAGGCGTGAGCCACCACACTCGGCCAACCAGTTGGTTTATTCACTCTATGCTTCGGTTCCCCCGTCTGTAATATGGGAATAATCCTGCCCTTTGTGGGTGTAGCAAGGCAGCTCCCTTGCAGCCCACGCCCCTGGCCTCCTCTATCCCTACACAGGACTGGATGCGGTTGGAAACGGGCTGAATGGAGTTGTCAGAGGCAGTGCAGGGATTTCTGTTGAGTGCAGGAGGGTTACTCTGGCCTTGCCCCCAAGACCCTGTCACCAGCCCTCCAGGTGACCTCAGATGAGCTGCTTCCCGTCTCTGGGCAGAAGCAGATGGTGTCCTTGCTTTGCTTGTCCCAAAGGCCATGGGCAGCTCCAGGGAGCATGTGGGTGGGAAAAGGCCTGTGAAAAGGTGGGCACAGGCCCCACGACTATCCACGCCTCTGGCCCCAGCCCCAGGAGTCCACCATAGAACAAGGCAGTCACAGCCAGTCTCTGTGGAATGAATGATGACAGTGTTTACACAAGCCTTTCCCATGTGGCCTCCCCAGCCAGCCCCATTCATAGGCCAGAGCAGTGAGGCCAGAGACAGAGCTGGATCTGAGCCCAGAGTGGAGTGACCCCTGGCTCCCGACTTGGCTCTTCCTCTCCCAAGCAGCACGGGCTCGGTCAGTATCTGGCCAGAGATCCTCCCTGGGTTCCAGCAGAAGAACTGGCCCCAGCTGGGAGCATCAGAAGCTCTGGGAGGCTGGGCCTCAGTTTCCCCATCTATAACATGTGGTCCTCAAGCGGGGCTCATAAGCTGCCCACATCAGCCATGCCCCAGCTGGGGGCTTCCTAGGGAGCCTGTGGGCTCACAGCAGGCATCTGCCTAGCTCTTCTGGGAGGGCTGAGGGCCAGCCCCAGTGGGCCAGGGGCTGGTGAAAGGTCGGCCATGGAGGGCATACAAGGCATGTGGTACCCTGCCAGGCTGAGCCCCTTTACCCCGGCCACCTCCCACTTCCTCCCAATGCAGCATGGGCCTGGCCTGGCACAGGCGTCTCTGGGTGCAACATCAGTTAGGAGATTTTCCCATCAAGGCCAAACTAATCTGCACATGTCCTGGCCTTGGGGTCAGGGTTGGGCGGGCCCCACTGCACAGATGAGAAGCCCGAGGCCCAGAAAGGATCACACAGGGAGGTGGAGGAGGGACGCCACTGACCCCAGGTGGTCCAGGGCACTGACCAGCATCGGAGCCGCAGCCAGGCCTCTGCCCTGCTTCCCATCGTCCCCCTCCTCGGGCTGGGTCTGCCTGGCGGACGCCCAGTTTCGGTCCAGAAGCACAGGCACTAGTCCTGCTTCCGGTTCCTGGTCTCTGTGTGACGCTCACTAACACTGGGGTTTCTGGGGACACCTAGAGGTCTGACTCCACTTTGTTCTGTGGCCAAGGTAGCCCTCCAGGACCCCCACGGTCTAGTCAGAAGGGAGGAGCAGTTCCGTGTGCTGAGACCGTAGCAGGTTTTTCTTTTTTTCTTTTTTTTTTCTTTTTGAGACAGAGTCTGGCTCTGTCACCCAGGCTGGAGTGCAGTGGCATAATCTCGGCTCACTACAACCTCTGCCACCTGGGTTCAAGTGATTCCCGTCTCAGCCTCCCAGGTAGCTAGGACTACAGGCACATGCCACCACATCCGGCTAATTTTTGTATTTTTAGTAGAGACAAGGCTTCACCATGTTGGCCAGGCTGGTCTCAAACTCCTGACCTCAAGTAATCCGCCCGCCTTCCCAAAATGCTGGGATTCCAGGTGTGGGCCATTCTCTGTCTTCTGGCTCATCCATCTATCCATAAGTAGGTGGCATTTTTCTTTTTTTTTCTTTTTCTTTTTCTTTTTTTTTTGAGACGGCGTTTCGCCCTTGTTACCCAGGCTGGAGTGCAATGGCGCGATCTCGGCTCACCGCAACCTCCACCTCCTGGGCTCAGGCAATTCTCCTGCCTCAGCCTCCTGAGTAGCTGGGATTACAGGCACGCGCCACCATGCCCAGCTAATTTTTTGCACTTTTAGTAGAGACGGGGTTTCACCATGTTGACCAGGATGGTCTCGATCTCTCGACCTCGTGATCCACCCGCCTCGGCCTCCCAAAGTGCTGGGATTACAGGTGCGAGCCACCGCGCCCGGCAGTAGGTGGCATTTTTCTAACCAGAAACAAAACCAGTGACAAAGAGGCAGAGGGTCCAGCGGGCAGACCCCTGGCCTGGGCTCCCGTCTGGGCTCTGTCCCTGCCCCTCCCCGGGCCTTGGTGTACCTGTTTGTGAAACAGGGTGGTGCACAGACCAGAAGGCCCCCCGGGGTCCTGCCAGCTCTGTCACCTGCTGATGCTGCAGCTCCAGTCCAGGTGTCCTCCCTTAGTCAGCAGCAGCTGCCTCCGTCATACCAGCAACCACAGCTTTTGTGGGCAGCGTGCTGACTCCGACGGCCACACCCCAAAACTCACTCACTGATAAAGGGACCTCACACTCACCAGAGGCGCTGGACGAGCCAGGCAAGGCGTGGCTGGTTACACGAGCAGCCCCACTTAAGTCCTTTCAATAACACTCCTCATTTTGCAGATGAGGGGCCTGAGGTGAAATGGCCACTCAGGGAGTGGGTGCTGACCTCCTCGGGGAAGAGGGCCTGGCTGGGGCTGGACGCCAGTGCTTCGAGGTGGGGGTGAGCCATGGCCTGCTGACATCTGAGGGGAGAACGCAGCCCTGCTGTCTCACACTCGGGGGTGGGGAGAGCCTCTGACCTATTCAGGAGGACTGGCAGGCCTCATAGCTCACGGAAACTCAGCCTCAGCTTCTCCACCTGGGGTGACAGCAGCTGTCCCAGGCCCCGTTGCCATGAGCACAAGTTGAAATATGGAGGCAAATGTCCCACCAAAGGCAGAAAGACATACAGGGTCGTAGAGAAATGCTTCTCTCCCAAGCACCTAGATAGAACCACCATCTAACTCTCTCTTGCTCTCTTTTTTTTTTTTTTTTTTTTTTTGAGACGGAGTCTCACTCTGCCACCCAGGCTGGAGTGCAGTGGCGCGATCTAAGCTCACTGCAACCTCTGCCTTCCGGGTTCAAGCGATTCTCTTGCTTCAGCCTCCCGAGTAGCTGGGATTACAGGCATCTGCCACCATGCCCAGCTAATTTTTTGTGTCATTAGTAGAGATGGAGTTTCATCATGTTGGCCAGGCTGGTCTCGAACTCCTGACCTTGTGACCCGCCTGCCTTGGCGGAATTACAGGCGGGAACCACTGTCCCCTAACTCTCTGAGGCAAGGACTTGTCCCACATCACCACAAGCTGGCAGAGAAGCAGGAAGGACAGCAGCTTGCCCTGCCCCCAGAAGCCGCAGCCCGCAGGCCCTCCCAGCCTCTGTAATCAATGTTTCCTCAACATCCACAGCTTAGGGGTAAATGCTGAGAGCTCTCCGATAAACCAGCATGCTTAGAAAATAAGTTAAAATCACAGAGGCTTCCTGCTTCTGAGCTGCAGGTGGTGACTTCAACCGTGGAACCACAAAGGGAAACTACCTGTGTTTCAGAGTCGTAGGTCGTAGAACTTTGTGGACACACTAAAAACCATGGGAGTGTACACTTCGGGTGGGTGAATTCTATGGTATGTGCATATCTCAATAAAGCTGCTTGAAAAGTAACTCTTTTGAAGTAGAATCTTAATATCAGAGCTGGGAGGATCTCAGATATTACGGATCCAAATGACTGCTCCCTCCTCCCATCCTACGAATCTGGAAAGCCCTTAGGATGTGCTGAAGGCTCCCAGAAGGGCCGGTGCCTTCAGGAAGCTTCTAGTCTCCCTCTGCTACTGAACGGCAAGCTTTCCCACCCCAGATCTTAAAGCTCCTGAACTCTGCCAGCCATGCACACAGTTGGCACCATTGTCTGCTCCTGGCGCCATGAATGTGCCAGCTGCTGTCATGAGGGTCCGGGAGATGAGAGTAGGGGTGTGGCATCCCCGAGACCACCCCACCCAGGGTCTCCTTTAGCCCTGACAATTGCCAGGGGTGGTGGGCTGGGCAGGATCACACCTTCCCTTTTGACAGGTACAGGGACTCCATCCATGGGAGCGAGTGTACCTTAGCCCCTGCTGCTTGGCCTGCCGGAGCGAGCTCTCCTGGTGGTTGCTGACAGAATCGGGGTTTGAGTGTGGCTGTCTTGGGCAGGTTGGGGGCTAATGGGACATCATCGTGCGTCATGCCCACTCCCTGAGGCCCACCAAGGACCGATTCTGACACAAGCGTCCCTCAGGCTCAGACTCACTCCCTCTCACACTCCGACCCCAGGTCATCGTGCAGCGGTCACTGTCGGCCCGGGACCTGAACCATGCCAAGGCGGGCTCCATCCTGGCCAGCTACCTCAAGATGCTCCCCATGGGCCTGATCATCATGCCAGGAATGATCAGCCGTGCGCTGTTCCCAGGTAGGATGGGCTCTGGGCACTGAGCCAGGCTGCAGGGCACCCAGGCTTCTGGGTCCTTGTCCTGCAAAGGTCACTAGGAGGAGAGGTGAAGGATAGATGTGAACTGCTTCCCAACCTGGGCAGTGGGGAGAGTGCGCCTTGGGGCCACAATCAAAGGGATTGGCATGGATGTGGACTGGCACAAGGTCGGGACAGGTATCACTTACTGCTGTGTGACCTCAGGCTTTAAATGAACATCCCTGTGCCCCGCCGTTTCCTCATCTGCAAACTAGGGACTGTGCCACCCACCTGGCAGGTGCCATTACGATCCTCTAACTACAGGCATTTGAGGCCTCGGGGAAACGTGCATTTCCTTAGGTTGCCTTTTCAGGCCTCTGGGACCGAGGGTCCCCAGTGTTAATGATGGCCTTCCATATGGCCCTGAGCGGTTCCAACCCTGCCTGTTATTCCGTTTCCCCATCCATAACAAGGGAATTGCAGTCATCGGCGCCCAGAAGACAGCAGCTCGGGCTCTTGGGTGGCTGGCGTGCGGGACCCGGGCCTACCTGTGTCTCCTGGTCTGTGGAGCGCTGGGCCTGCATCTTCCTCGGCGCGTCAGCTTCTTCTCTCCCCCGACTCTGGGCCCACGGGGAGCCACCCAGGGGTCCAGCAAAGGTCCCTCGGGTTATGTGGGGGGCACTCAGCTGCCGGCGTGGTGGCGGGATTGGCCCATTGGCCACCTGCTCCGAGTGGCGCCTCCGAAGAGGGGCTGAGGGCTCTCTCACCTCGAAGTACTCCTCTGACACTGACGAAGAGGCCACGGAGAGCCTCCGGGGCCCGGGGCCACGGCTGGAGCTGCCTGAGTGGCTGTCCTGGTCACTGAGGGTTACGTAGTCGTCGTCATCTTCCTCTTCCGCCCCATCCAGCCCATTGGGAAGCCCCACCCCGAGGCCGTCGGGGTCATCCTGGGTCACAGATAGCTGCTGCTGGAGCGGGGTGTGGCCTGGGCCTGCCGTCCTGGGTAGCCCGTGGTCTGTCCCATTCTGGGGAGCCTCCTCTTTGGGGGTCTCCAGCGCCCAGCCAATACCACTGCTGTCCTGGGCTAATACGTCCGCCACAGGGACTGTCCGGGGCTTGGGCACAGGGGGCAATGGCTCAGGGTCCCCCTGCGGGAGGCCATTCGCAGCTGGGATACTGTCCTGGGAGGCACCAGGCTCTTGGGGAGGGCGAGGCTCTGGATGGGGCCTGCTGTCCTGGCTCTGCTTCCACAGCTGGTGCTGGGCGCTGGCCTGGGAGGTGTCACGGATCTTGATGCGGTTCATCTGGCTGGGCTGGGGGTTCCAGATGTTGGGGTCAATGATATTGATGTAGCCCAGGATGTCGCTGCCAGGCTCCGGGTCCGGCTCCACCCACGTGGGCAGGTACTCAAACATGTTGGCCTTCTCCAGGTGGAGCAGCCCCGGGTGGATGGGTGGCGGCAGTTCGGGGAGATCCCCTGGGTGCTCGGCCAACACCGCGCCCTGCAGCCCTGGGGGCTTCTTGGCCTCCTGCTTCTCAGAGGAGATCTTGGCAATCTCGTCGACGCTCTTGGCCTTTACCAGCGCGTACTTGGGGTTGACAAACTTCTTGGCCACGGTGCCTGAGGGCACCAGGGGGACCACAGAGGGCAGCACAATAGGCTCTGGCTCCGGCTCCTTCTCCATGGGGATACCCTTGAGGCTGACGCTGTGTGACATGAGGTACAGCTCCTGGAACTGCCGGTCAAACACCTCCACCACCTGGCCAGACAGCACGGAGATCACATTCCGGTCCGTCCGTGAGGCTGACCACGTGAAGCTGCAACAGAGGGAGGAGCGCTGGTCAGGCAAAGGGCCCTGCTTCCTCCCCCGGCCCGTGCACCGCTGCTGCTGAGCCTCAGACCGTAGGGATCAAGAAGTGAATGGGGGCAGAGGGTAGGGACATGCTGTGGGGTCAGATTGAGGCTGGGATGTCAAGCAGGTCGGTCACACAGAGCCCATTCCTGCCTCTGGAAATGGCACGGCGCTGTGTTCCTCTCTGGCTGGTGCAGGATTTGCTAAGCAGCCTGGGAAGGCCCTGATCACCGTGCGTGGTGCCGCATGTGGTGGCCGCTGCTGCCAGGTGTCTAGGCTGCCACCAACCCCCATGTGACCGTGGGCAGCCCCCTCCCCATGCCCGGTGTGCTGGTCCCCACAGAGCTGGCCTCATCCCTGAGGACGGCTCTCAGAGCGACCCCCTAGGCTTGCAAAGACACGGCCTGGCCGAGCCACACCCCACCTCCAGGCTGGCGACATCTCCAAGCTGGAACAACAGCATCCTCAGACAAAGCCCTTCTCTGCCTGCATCCAGAGACAGATGGGCAGGCAGGGGTGCCCCAGGCCTGCGCATACCTCAGCAGCCTTGGGACCAATGAACTGGAGTAACCAGGGTGTCATAAATAAGTCAGGATGAAGGACACAAGCCAGCTGGGAACCAGAGGTACCACTCCCGCAACTTCCCTGAAAGGCGAGAGTCACCTGTAGGAGCCGCACACAGCCCGGTCTCCATCCACAAACATGAATTTCTGGGCCAGGGCACCCTTGAACTTGGTTGCCGACCGAGTGAAGAATTCGGTTCCCCCGCTGCTCCGCACCCTGAGATTCTGTGTTGGGAACAAAGAGACAGAATTACATGACCACAGCACTGACCACACAGGGCCAGGGGAGGACCGTGGCTGCCCGGGGCTCAGAGGGGGCTTCGGGGTAGTGAGGAGGGGAAGGAAGAGGCGGCGAGGCCTGGAGGAAGGGGCTGATGTGTCCACGACTGCAGGGCCCGGGGTAAGGAGGGACTCGGTGAGTCACGAAGCTGCAGAGGGGGCAGGCCCCGGTGACGATAAGACGGTGGGATAAGACGGTCTGGGCCGTGGCCCCAGAGGTGTCTGAAGAGCAGCACCAGGCAGGAGAGGCTTGCACAGCCGGCCAGCTTGGGAAGTGCGCCGTGATGCTGCCGTGGGTGGGGGATGCTGTGCTGGGGTCCTGAGCGGGAGGGTGACGTGTCTCGAGGATGGTGAGGGGGTGAGGTGCCAGGGGAGGGCAGGAAGAGGGGCCCGCCCTGAGGAATCTGGGCCTCACACTCCGATAGTCTGTGGCCCTCCAGGGTGAGTGGCCCGGCCCAGCCTCTCCCCGGTGCTTCTCCGTGCCCCTGTCTCTGCTGGGCTCTGCTCCAAGGGCAGGACTCACAGCAAACCTTTCTCCTTCTCCACGGCCAGGACACCACCCACACCCAGGCAGGCCCTGGAAATAGTCAAATTCAATTCCGTGCCGGTTTACACTGTCTGGCCCAGGAAGGTCCTCAGAGCCCATGCCACAGGGAGCTAAGACTAGGGAGAAGAAGGCTCCTGGGGCATGGGGAGCACAGCAGACCCCTCAACTGCCTTAGCTCTAAGGCCGGATTGTCACTGGCGTTTTCCCGGACCTGGCCACATAGGCCCCTCTGTCCGTGTGGAGTCTCTGGAGCTGCCGAGGGCCTGTGTGTTACATGAGCTCCAGGCGCTGCCTCCTCTCCCCCACCATCCTGGTGGGGGACTGTGGTGAGGGAGGAGCTGAGGGTAAAGGCTGGTGCTGAGCATGGCGGAACCCAGGCAGGGCAGGGCGAGCCTGGCTGAGACCCAGGTATCAAGGATGGCCGAGGGCATCCCGAAATAGAACCTCAGCTGTAACGAGGACCTGGCGCTCATCTGGCCTGTGTCCAGGGCCGTGTGTAAGACATGCAGGCTCCTGGGTGCCCTGAGGGTCTGACTCAGGAGGCCTGCAGTCAGGCGAGGAATCTCAGTTTTAACACAAACTCCGGGGATTCCTGACTGGTCTGCCTGCATGCCTCCTGTGACAGGAGTCTCACTCCCTCCCGAGGGGTTCTGTGCCGCCTTCTGGTTCTCGGTTATGACACGTTCTTAGTCAGACTGAGCTGTGACTTACTGGTCTGTCCCTCACCCACTCACTGGCCCCAGCTTATTCACCCCACTCATTCACACAATCAACAACCCCTGTCGAGGCGCCCAGCTGCAGACACAGAGATGCCCGTGACGAGGATCCCATGTTGGAGGTGCAGGGCAGGCAGGGAAGCAAATGAAAACAAACCCAGTGCCCAGGACCGAAGAGGAGTAACCCGACGTGGGAAGGGCTGGCCGGGAGGCTCCCTCGAAAGGATGACATGGCTCACAGTGGGAGGTAGGGAAGCATTCCAGGCAAGGGACTCAAAGGCCAGGCATGAGAGGCCTTTGTCCAAGAGCACCTGGGGGAGGAGGGGTGGGCGACAGAGCTGCAGAGTGGGCAGGGCCGGCTCCTCGTAAAAGACCCGGCATCTGCTGAACGGCCTGGGCTTGGCCCCAGGGCCACGGGAGGATTTAGAGCAAAATCGACAGGGTTGGGTATGCATCTCAGGAACAGTTCTGGCACCAGGGGTGGGTGTGTGAAGTGAATGTTATGGGAGAGGAGGGGGCCTGAGAGCACAGAACCGCCCGCCATGCCCTCCAGCCTCGTGCCTGCCTGTCCTTTCCAGGTCCCAGACCCCTGTGGCTGGGGTGGCCCCAAGCTGGCCACCAAAGAGGCAGGGGGTGTAGGCCCTGGGTGAGTCCCCATCTGATGTCCACTGTGGGATAAACAATCGCCTTGTCATGGGGCCCAGTGGAGCCAGATAAGCCTCTGCTCCCAGGGCCGCCCTGGCCAGCCCCCCGCCCCGCAGGCTGCAGGTCTGCACACGGCCGGCTCAGCAGGAAGCTGGCCTCGGCCCAGGACAATTAGTGCTCGTGACTTTGTACCCACCACGGAGCACGCTCGGGGTTGAGAAGTCAGACAAAGATCCTGGAGGTGGTACGAGGCCTTCCCTATCACTGAGCCCACCCAAGCCCAGCTCCACCGCCTCCTGGCCCGGCCCCTCCTTAGCCTGGAAAATCAGCCGCCAGCATCAGCACCCCTCTGGACAGTGTCTGCCCCCACCCATCCCAAACCTTGTCTTGATGAGGGCTC